TACTCCTACACTTTAAATAATTATTCTCCTCCAGTTGCAAGGAGCTAAATTCATAGGTCTTGACTCCCACAACAATCACTGAAGTAATGTCACTACCTCAAATTTGGTACCAACATAGGACATTCTTTATTACTTATAAATGCTAAGTAGGATGCTGAGCCCTCACTCTGCCCCAGTGGTGGGAAAATGTAGCCTGAATCTGTCCTGGGTTTTCTTCCTCCTTCTGCAGTTTTGAAGATTGGGTCCTAATCCCTGGGCGTCCAGGCCAAGGCATGGATGGGTTGGAGACAGGAGGCTTGCAGGGCCACATACTTCTCCCACACTGGTCCCCATAGGGTTCTTCATCCTACAGGCCCAGAAGATGTGTGTCCTTTGGGATGACATTTGGGGCATTGGATTTTGGCCGCTTGTGCGATGGCTCTCAGAGTCCTCTGCCTGGGTGCATGTTGCCATTCCATCTTGGGCTGGATTCCCCCGCTCACTAGCCGGGAACCTCGATGCAGGTTCCCTCTGTTCAGGACTCACAGGGTTCTCCTCTCCACTCTCCTCCACCCTCTCCGCCTCCTCCGGGGCCTGACTTTCTGGAAACAATAGTCCAGAACTGAAGTGTCTGACAGAATTGATTCTTTTTCTGCCTTCCTACATCTTAGCATAAGCAGCCACGAGCACACTAACGAGACAGCATTCAGTCCCATGAATTTTAGGTTCTTTGCTATGACAGCCTCCAACGTCTGCATACCCAATGTACGTCCCAGTTACATATTGCTGTGCAACAAACCAGCCCGGAACAGAGTGGCTTCAAACATAACCACTTATTCAGCTCTTTTGTTCTGTGGGTCAGCCGTTGGCGTTGGGCTTGCTCGGGCAGTTCTGCTGCTCTTAGCTAGGCAGCTGCCCGTCAGCGAGCAGACCCACATCCCTCAGCCTTCTGATCTCCTCATCAGAGCTCTGCCATGGCAAGTCCAGCATCTCCATCTCGTTTACTGTGAGCTGTCATGATGTCCGAGCTCCCGAGAGCCACTCCGGCAGCATATCAGACCAGCCCCGAGGCATTCGTTCAGGACAATAAATCCGGAGTCATGAGAACATTGCTCTTGCAACTAGTTCTCTCCTACGCAGTCTCCTGCCTCATGCCCAGGTCCATCGCCCTCAAGATCCACTCCCACACATGCTTTTCTGTTCCTACCAGGACACGTTTGCCATGTCATGTAATTAACTCAGGGTGAAAGCCATTTCCTCCCAGAGGATGGGCTCTATTCCTTGCGAGGGCTACGCTGAGACCTGGCCCTAGTTCTTAGGCTGGGGCAATGCATGGAGTAGAGTGATCTTTTTTATTTTTTAATTATTTTTTATTTATTAATTTTTTAAGTATTTATTGTTGAAAGTATTATATATGTTCTTCTGTTTCTCCCATTGACCTCTTATAGCCCGGTCTCTCTCCCCCCGCCGCCCCAGGCCTCCACCATCCTCTTGTGTGTGTCCATGGGTTATGCCTATATGCATACAAGTTCTTTGGTTGATCTCTTCCCACCTACCCATCTACCCCTGCCTTCTCTCTGAGATTCCACGGTCTGTTCCATGCTTCTGTGTCTCTGGATCTCTTTTTTGTTCAACAATTTATTTTGTTTATTAGATTCCACATATGAGTGAGATCATGTGATACTTGTCTTTCTCTGACTGGCTTATTTCGCTTAGCATGATGCTCTCCAGGTCCCTCCATGCTGTCTCAAAGGGTCAGAGATTCTTCTTTACTGCTGCATAGTATTCCATGGTATAAATGTACCACAGCTTTTTTATCCACTCATCTACTGATGGGCACTTGGACTGTTTCCAGATCTTAGCTATTGTAAATTGTGCTGCCATGCACATGGGGGTGCATACATTCTTTCTGTTTTGGGTTCCTTAGGATATATTCCTAAAAGTGGGATCAAATGGTAGTTCCATATTAAATTTTTTTGAGGAAACTCCATACTGTTTTCCATAATGATTGCACCAGCCTGCATTCCCACCGGCCATGTACTAGGGTTCCCTTTTCTCCACATCCTCGCCAGCACTTGTTGTTTGTTGATTTGCTGATGCTAGCCATTCTGACAGGTGTGAGGTGATCACCTCATTGTTGTTCTAATTTGCGTCCTTCTTATGATCAGTAACTGTGAGCTTTTTTTTTTATATGTCTCTTGGCCATCTGTCTGTCCGCTTTAGAGAAGTGCTATTTAGGTCCTTTGCCCATTTTTTAACTGGATTGTTTGTCTTCCTTTTGTTAAGTTGTCTGAGTTCCTTATATATTTTGGATATTAACCCTTTATCAGATGTATCATTGCCAAATAAGTTCTCCCATACTGTGGGCTTCCGGTTCATGAGGAGGGCGATCTTGATGAGGAGAAGCATTTTCATGGGACATGCTTGTCACAGACCGAGTCTGCTCTCCATCCCGAGGTCACTGTCATTGCCCCGATGCCTTCAGGTTTCCTTTAGCCTCTCCTGTGAGAATCGGAAAGTGGGCTTCGATCTGCACTGCCTTTCCGGCCGGCGTAGAGAAGGGTATTTTAGAGCCAGGCCTTGGGCTGAGGTCCTCTCGTTCTGGTTTCCCCCTCGGGGTGTCAGGAGCGCAATCGGGAAGAACAGAGAGAACCCATCAAAGGTCTGTGCCTCTCAGAGGCCATCCAGGCCACTGGTGTGACTACTGATGAGGACATCAGGGTCCTAGGAGGTGAGGTCAAAACACAAACCTCACGGCATGAGATATGTAACGATTGCTTTGGAAATCTCAAGCACGTTGCTGGTCCAGTTAATAGTGGGAATGGGACAAACTGTGAAGCTGCAGGTCTGTATCCAGCAGGCACTTAATACCTGCTTGTGCCTACCCCACCTCTCTCAGGAAGTGACTACCCTGGGAAACCTCCCGTGTGTTCGATTGATGCTTCCCAAAGCCACTATTGATACTGTTAAATTCCTGCCCCAACATCTCTGAGGGTGGGGCAGAAGGATGCCTTTTCAGCAAGTGTGCCAGGTAATTCTGATCCCAACAGCCCCACCCCAAACAGTTGGGAAGCCCCATGCTGGGCCCTCTGCCATGACCCACCTGCTGGGTCTCAGAGCATGGCCTTGTGACGAAAAGAGTACAGCAGTGAGGACCCAGGGTGCTGAGGGCCGGTCCCTGCAGAGCCTCCTCATGCTTACACTGGTGGGCCTGGGTCTAGATCGGAATTGCTGTCTTTATCCCTGACACAACTCAAGCCAGTAGAAATGGTGCATTGGGCTCACATTATGGTTGTTTTGGTTTTTTAAACAATTGAGGCCACATTTAAAAATTGAGTAATACGGTATACTTCTGGTGTGGCCGACCACCATTGTCACAAAACAAATATTTCCTGAGGTTGAGAAGTCACTGCCCCGTTAGAGCATGTGTGGTCCAGTTTTCCACAGTCCCCACCCCTCCCTATTGCTCTCCTGACCAGCTGAATTCACCGCTTGTTTGCTGCCTTCCCAGACCCTGAATCTGAGGTCTGAGTTGAGGTCTCTGGCTTACCTGACCCCAAATCTACTTCTACTTTTCTGTGAGCCCAACGCCTAACGAATTATTTTTCTCCAGATCAAGGCCCAGTCTGTTTATGTAAATCAGAACAGGAAAGTCTTGCTTGGCCAAGTCCTTTCTTGAATCTTGGCCCGATGCTATGCTTCACCAATCCTGTGACCTGTGTCTGCCTACTCAACGTTTGCCTGCTAACAGGAGGCTCTTTCTTGTCTCTGACGGAAGCTCTCTGAGGCCAGCAGCAGCCGTGGATGTCCAGGGCGTGCAGGCGGGCCAGCCAGATGAGGGGAGAGTGGGTGCACCCAGGCCAGACCCTGATCTGGGCTGTTTGGGTCCTTGCAGCTGCCACCGAGGGTGAGACACCCAGTGGGAGAGCAGGCCTCTCAGAAGGTGAGGTAGGAGGGGGATTTCCCTATCTTGGAGGATTGTCCACTGGTGGAAATGAAGTTTACTGCTCAAGGGTCTCTGAGGGCCCACGGCGGGCTGTGTAGTCACCTCAGGGCACCTGACCGATGTCCTGGTGTTGTTGAAAGCCCCAGGGCCCGGGTCTCTTTCTGGGGCACACGGTAGAGCACAGAAGACCCCCAGTCCTGCCCTTGAGTTGCTCACACCCTGTGGGGGGCTGGGAGAGCCCTCTGTCCTGGGACAGAGCTTGTGCTTTTGTGGTGCTGGCTGCCGATTTTAATGTTGCTATTGAGATGACATTAGCCGGGGTAGCACCAGCACTCCTGGGTCCCGCTAACTCAGTCGCCGGGCTGCTGACCTCTGAAAGCTCCACATTCTATGTGGCAACCGAGCAGCCCACGCTCTCAGTCTCAGACGCCTCACCCTCGGACCCCTGGAGGCAGACAGGCTGATTTCAGGTGGCATCCGCGTGAGAATTTTTTTATTTTCATTGCTGAATATTTACTTTATTCGAAAGCATACACCAAACTCAGCAAAACCAGCACTGCGTAGATGTGATTGCTTAAGACTCCTCTTGGTCAATGTGAAAAGTTCATTTAGATTTCACTTTAAGAAAAGCAAGATGCCGGTCGTCCTATAGGTGGGTGATGCACAGGCAGTTGTGCTGGCGGGTATGAAAATGACGGACGTGTGGGAAGCTCGGGGCCCGGTGACTCCGTGCAGTCCTAGGCTCTCCAGGGCCTGGTGTGTATCGTCACCTCTGTAGGAAGGGAGGCTTCTGGGCACAGAAGGGAGAAGGGTTTCCACGGTAACCAGGGGGCATGTTGTGGCTTGGTGCTGTGTTTCCAGACGAGACTAAGTTTGTGCTCTGATACAGGTGATTTCTAAGGCGATGTTGAAGGAGGCCATGGACATGGGTTCCTGAAGAAGGAATCCAGATACTTCCCGTGGCACAGCGTCTGGGCCCAGAAAGAGTGACCCCACCTGGGGCAGCTCTGAGTTGGGCTTATTCCTGGCCTCTTCCCAGCCAGCTCCTGATTCCTCCCCGTGTGTGTTCCCTCAGCACCAGCTGGAGATGGACCCACCAGGAGCACCAGGCTGGGCTGGGTCCGGGGGAAGCAAGCCACTGTGCTGGGAAGCACCATGCCTGTGAATGTGTTCCTCGGGGTCCCCTACGCTGCACCCCCACTAGGACCCCTGCGATTTACAAACCCGAAGCCTGCGTCGCCCTGGAATGGCATCCGAAATGCCACATCCTACCCTAATTTGTAAGATCGGGCTTGATCCCATGGGTGGCCTGCGACCTGGGAGTGGGGGCAGGGCATTGAGGGGGAATGAATGAAGGACATGCAGCCCCATGGGCGGGGGGGAGGATCGGGGGGGACGGGGGGGGGGGCGGGGGGAGGAGGAGAGGGCTACAGAAGTGGCTTCCGTGACCACATGGCACCGTTCAGAACATGCAGATCCCCTGAGCTCCCGTCCAAACTTCCTGAATCTTCAGACCTAGAAAACTGGATTGTCTGAAAGCTCTCTGAGGATTCTGGGTTCGATCAGGTTTGGGAGCCACTGTGATGGGCTTACTGATTGGAAGGGACGGTCAGCCAGGCCTAGGCTCCTTGGTCAGACTGGATAAGGGCTGTAGAGTGAAGAATCACACTAAAGCAGCGGTTCTCAACCTGTGGGTCGCAATCCCTTTGGCGGTCGGACGACCCTTTCACAGGGGTCGCCTAAGACCATCCTGCATATCAGATATTTACATGACGGTTCATCACAGTAGCAACATGACAGTTGTGAAGTAGCAACGAAAATAATTTTCTGGTTGGGTCACCACATGAGGAACTGTATTTAAAGGGCCAGAAGGCTGAGAACCACCGCTAAAGGGATGTTAGTGCTAGCAGTCAGCACCGTGCCCAGGCAGAGCCTGGCCCACAGGGGAAAATCCATAGCTTCCCGTGGAATGCTGGCACGAGTGTGTCCCTGTGGCACAGAGGAACTGGGGGGTAAGGAGCTCCCAGTCACTGCGAGTTTTCAAGCTTAGGTAGGCAACCAGTTAGTTCCCTGGGGAATGGTGGAGGGGCCTCACGCGTGAGGTGGGAGCTGAGACTTGGAAATCCCCAAGAATCTTCTGACTGTCAAATTTTGTCAAGTCTTCAGGTTGGTCACATTCCTGGCATTGCTTTCACAGGCCAAAGGAGTACCCTGGTGCCAGGAGACCCCATGTGGCTCAGGGACTGAGGACACTAAGCCGACACTCATCTGTTCATTCGTTCATTCATTCATTCATTCATTCATTCATTCATTCATTCAGCTCATATCAATAGTTAGATTCCCTTAGGCCCTGGATGACACCACCATGGGTTAGACATAGCTGCCCTCAGGAACCTGCAGACTGGTAGTGGTGGTGGGGACACAAACGGCAATGACAATTAAAATACAGAGTGACAGGGGCCACCATAGGGGATCGGAGAAGGTGCTGAGGAAGCACAGAGAACCACTTAGCCTAGCTCTGAGGGGAGGTCAGGGATGGCTTTCTTGGGAGCCTGTAGCCTCGATTTCTGATAAAGAACTTACAAAGGGGAAAGGGGGCATAAAAACTTGTCAGGGGATAGATTTGCAGCAAATCTGTATACTATTCTACTACGAAATTAAAGTGAGCACTTTGTAGAAATATTCACATACATAATCTCATTCGATCTTACTGTGTGTCAGGCTTGGTGATGGGGGCTCTGAGGTACTTAGGTGACTAATACAGAGCCCTAGGCTTCTAGCTGCTCACAGTTGAGCTGGGACTATGATTACACTCATATACAAGTCTATAGGAGAAGTTCTAGTAAAAAAAAAAAACACAAAATATGTAGGTGTTTCCAAAGATACCTATGGTCTATCTGGAGAAATCTCAGAAGGCTTCCTGGAGGAGGTAGCATTTAGCCTGAATCTGAAAGAAAGGGAAGAACATGAGCAAAGAGAGGAAGACAGCAGTCTAGCCAGAGGGACCAGCTTGAGCAAAGGCCTGGGTGCAGGATTCTCTCTGCCAACCTGTCTCAGTTGGTTCCTGGCGGAGAGGCCTGGAAAAGTCCTTTTGTTCCTCTGGGGTCAGAAGAGGGGGCTGCCAGAGCCAAGCTCTTGATTTGCAACCCAGTGTCCTGACCTCTACAGTTTGGGGAATTGTTGAGCCAGCCGGGGTCTTTATGCGTGTGCCTGGATTATGATGGTGGGTGCTGGGGGTTAATGGTACAATTATTATACCCAATGTGCTTTCCCTCCTGGGAACCAGATCAAAGAGAATCATGGTTTGTTCATTTGTGCCACTGGGTGGAGGGGGCATGATGAACGGGGTACCAAAAGCCCCCATAGGCATCTTCTGCTCAGGCCCAGGAGACAAGAACTGGCCCCTCCCAGGCAAGTTTGCTGACAGCGACTCCAGGGGTTTCTCCTCCTCTTTCCAAGGTGCTTCCAGAACTCAGAGTGGCTGTTCTCAAATCAACACATTCTCCGGGTGCACTACCCCGAATTCGGAGTGTCGGAAGACTGCCTGTACCTTAACATCTATGCCCCAGCCCGTGCCGACACCGGCTCCAAGTTCCCGGTGAGGCTGTCTGCCGTGCTGGGGGCAGGTGCTGGGGCTGGGACCCTGGCAGAGTGGCTGGGGGTCTGGAATCAGCCCCAGCCTCCTATTGGGTAAAATGGAAATGTAATCATTGGCAGGTCAGTAACTTCCTTCAAAAGTCATTTGAACGACGTATTCACTTTATCTCCTTTTCGCTTCTTTGTTGGCAGTGACTTGACCTTTGATTCTTATGTTGTGTTGTGTTTCCCCCTCTGTTGAGTATTTAACGGCCTGTAAACAGTCAGAGAAGGCACTGCTTAAAAGGACTCTGATTATTTTTGTGTTTGCTTGAGAAATCCTTCTGTTAAAGAAAATAATTGCCTTCGCCAGTTTTTCTGTTTGCAATGAAGGCAGTCAGGTAATAACGCGGAGCATGCCACTTCAGAATGTGAAGGATCCCTGTGTAAGTGAGTACAAAAGGTGCAGTCTAACTTTTACCACACCCTCCCATCATCTTTTCTCCCCAATGTCAGTGCAATGAGAGACTTGCTGTGTTGCACTATACCAGCAACATCTATTGATTGCTGACATGTCCTAGGCACAGTACATTAGCTCACCCAGCCCCCCACAGTAACCCAAAGGGTCAGGATTATTGAACCCATTCTACAGATGACGAAGATGAGGCACAGGGGGAGAGAGCGTCAGCGCCTTGCTCCATGCTCTACCTCAGCTAGTGGCAGATTCTTGTGTCCAAGCTAATGCTTTGTCCAGTTCTCCTTTTTCCTCAGTGGCTTCCTTCTCGCTTCCTGCCCCAAGGGTGGCAGTCCCTAATAGGACCTTTAAAATGGAGAATGGAGCCCTAACCGGTTTGGCTCATTGGATAGAGCGTCGGCCTGCGGACTGAAGGGTCCCGGGTTCGGTTCCGGTTGGGGGCATGTGCCTTGGGTGTGCAGGAGGCAGCTGATGTTTCTCTCTATCTCTCTCCCTTCTTCTCTGTAAAAAATCAATAAAAATATTTTTTAAAAAAATGGAGAATGGAAGGCATTTATTATTAAGTATAAATAGTGATAATAGCATTTGAATGATGATTTATGTTCCCCAGTCCCAGTTTTTCTAATCAACATAGTAAAGTCTCCACACTTCTCTTCCCCTTTTTTCTCTCTTCTCTTTGCAGGTAGACGAAAGCCTTAGATTAAAAAGCTTAAGCTGCTTTTGCTTCCATACATGGCTTACAATGATTTCCATCTTCCTGTGGGTCACAAGTTCAATACTTAGTTAATACTTTCCGAGCACTTGGAATGTGCCAACATTGTCCTAGGAACCTCAGATACAGAATCTTGTTTAATCCTCATTATAGCCTCATAACTGGAATACTTTGATGCCTCACATCCTACAGCCGAGGACAATGAGGCTCAGAGAGGCTCAGTAATCTGCCTAAGGCCACACAGCCGGTCAGTGGCAGAGCTCAGACTTAAACTCAGGCACTCGGATGCTGGAGCCCACCTGCTTAACCCTGAGCCTTCTTCTAAATACAAAACCTCCGATGCGCTTTAGAAAGGACAATGAGACATTTGCATTTTCATAAAGAAAGAAGGACCCAGCATTCACAGGGAGGGGGTCGGAATGCTCGACAGGCTGACCGGAAAGTTCCTCTCCCCCCCTTAGGTCATGGTGTGGCTTCCAGGGGGTGCCTTCCAGACTGGCTCAGCCTCCATCTTCGATGGGTCTGCCCTCGCTGCCTACGAGGATGTGCTGGTTGTGACTACCCAGTACCGGCTAGGAATGTTTGGCTTCTTCAAGTGAGTACCCCCAAATGACTGACACCCCTGGTCCCCAGGGGGCAGCTGTGCAGCAACCATAGGGGATTCAGTGCCCAGCATCCTAAGGAGGAGCCTTCAAGGACATTGAATAAATTTGGACCAGATTATTAGGTAATTTTAGCAACTATGACAGATAACCCCCCCACGTATTAGTGGCTTAGAGAAATAAACATTTTTTTCTCACTTCAGTAAAATCTAACTGAGGGTTCCTAACTGACAGACATCCTTCCACATGGTCAATCAGGGACCCAGGCTCCTTCCACCTGTGGCTCTGCAGCTGGCCAGCAGGTGGAGAAAGAGATCAGAGGAGGATGTGAGGGCCGGCTTTCTGGGTCAGCCTGGAGGTGGCGATCATCACTGCTGTTTACACACCATTGGCAGAACTCAGTCACATGGCCATGCCCAATACAAGGGAGACGGGGCAACGTAGCCCTGGAAGTCAAGGACACAGAGTGTGTGAGCCATCAGTCGTCTCTGACGTAGGGCCCCGTCTCAAGGCTCCTCAAATGCTCACCTGAGAATAGTCACTCCATTGCATTGTCTTCCCATCCCATTAACTGTCCACCCATCCTGGGAAGCATGCGCTCTGCATGAGCTGCACGCAGCACGGGGCCATGGCCAGGACCATGGACTCTGGGGTCAGACTCATTGGATTTGAATCCCAAATCTGCAGCATTTTAGGTCCTGGGCAAGGGATTTGCTCTCTCTGTGTCCTGATTCCCTGTCTGTGAGAAGGAGCTGATGTATCCAGCAGTATCCTTAGGGCTTGTTTGCAGGTTTCATTGAAGGGAATTCATGTGAGCTAGGCCTCAGAAAAATGCAGCCACTGCCCAAACCACTTCACAGCAGAGGGGGCCTCGAGTGGCGTATTAAACATAAACATACTGGTCTCTTGATATCCCACCCTCAGCCCCTGCTCCTTGCCTCCCACTGACTGTACACATAGAGGTCAGCCTTTTAGGAGGAGGGTAGAGAAGGTGGGGGTAAAACCCAGAGGGGCAGAGGGAGAAAGACCAGCACCACCTACCTCACAGGTTTGGAGGATTACGGGAGCATCAGCCGTAAAGCCCTTAGGACAGTGTCCTGCACAGTGCTGCCGTTACTGTTATTGTTGTTATTATTCACTTAGCCATTCACTGGAACCTCTGTGCCCAGGGAGGTCTCACTGATGCAGACCAATTCTCAGGAGCAGGACTCTTCTGGAATCCATGGATTCAGGGGAGCCTGTGCATACCCTGAAATTGCATCTGCATTGTCTGTGCATTTTTCTGGGGTGTGTAACTCTCCTCAGATTCTCAAACCAAAACCCCAGCAGAGGGAGAGAGCCAAGCCTGGTGCTCCCCGCTGCCCCAGGTCTGATTGTCAGCCCTTCCCCGGAGAGAGTGGTGATGCCCTGACACCTGTCCACAGCCTCGGCCGCCAGCCCCCTGGGCTTCGGGAGGTAGACAGTGGCCCACTCAGGATGCTCATTCCGCCTCTTGCTCCCAGCACAGGGGACAAGCACGCGCCGGGGAACTGGGCCTTCATGGACCAGCTGGCCGCCCTGACCTGGGTCCAGGAGAACATCGAGTTCTTTGGTGGGGACCCACGCTCCGTGACCATCTTCGGCGAGTCGGCGGGAGCCATAAGTGTGTCCAGCCTTGTGAGTTCTCTTCGGTGGGGGAGGTTACAAAAAAGAGGATGATGAACCACGTACATCTGATTGGTGCTTCATGTTGAACAAACGCTTTCAGACACAGTCTCCCTGGAGCCTCACGCCGTGAGTCAGGGGCTCTGTCTCGTTTTAAGGACGAGAGCTGTCGTCGGAGAGTTTACATGAATCACCCAAGATCACATAGTGAGTGACAGTTGGAGGAAAACTCATTTGTACGTGTACAGTTGAAGGCCTGGCATCCAGTTATCAGGACTGGTCATCATTGAATAGAGAAGCTCTGCTAAAAGCATCAAATAGCAAAGGATGCATGTAAACATTTTATTTTCACTTAAAACATAAAAGGGCCCTAACCGGTTTGGCTCAGTGGATAGAGCGTCAGCCTGCGGACTGAAAGGTCCCAGGTTCGATTCCGGTCAAGGGCATGTACCTTGGTTGCGGGCACATCCCCAGTGGGAGATGTGCAGGAGGCAGCTGATCGATGTTTCTCTCTCATCGATGTTTCTAACTCTCTATCCCTCTCCCTTTCTCGCTGTAAAAAATCAATAAAATATATTTTATAAACAAACAAACAAAACAAAACATAAAAGGTACCCTCCTTCGCCAGTAGTTTGATGCAGGGTCTTACTTTCTAGAGTCAGTCTGCCGACTGGTGGTCCAGCAAGGCTCTCCTGCATAAGCCCCCGCAGGACCCATTGCCCTTACATTGGGGGCTCAGTGTCCTTTCGGTGAGCACCCACTTAAAGATGCTGTGAAGAAATCTGTGGATGCAGCCCTCTTATGGAGCTTTCTATCCCCTCACATGGTTTACTGTTATCTTGTGCTCCCCTAATTTTATAGCCATGTTATTTAGCTACCTACCTCTATCAAGTTACACTGCCCCCCCCAAAAGGCATCATTTTGTTTTCTTTTTACACACACACATCCATTGGTTCCCATGATAGTTCTCTGGTTATGTAATGACAATGGCAAGTGTAACTGACAAAGCAGATTTGGAAGCAGAGACGCCTGGCTCGTGGCAAGAAATTGATGGGAAGAGAGATGTGCAGAGGGGCCGGGATACGGCTCCGGGCTCTGCGTTCTGAGTGGTCAGTACTTCCCGGGCATCAGGTAACATGTTAACCACAGAAGTCAGTCACATGGAGGTGGGTTAAGCTTCTGCTGTATAACATTTGACAATATACAAGGTATTTTTTACCTTCCGTATAACTTTATATGGTGGATTATACTAATTTACATATGTGGTAGGAGCCACTATTCATGAGTGCTTATTACTTAACCAAGCGCTGTGTGAAGCCTTCTGTATTCATCACTTCTCCTGCTCCTCAGGACAAGTTTGTGATGTGGGCTCAGTTTTTTATTTATTTTTTATTTTTTTATTGATTTCAGAGAGGAAGGGAGAGGGAGAGAGAGATAGAAACATCAATGATGAGAGAGAATCATTGATTGGCTGCCTCCTGCACACCCCACACTGGGGATCGAGCCGGCATCCTGGGTATATGCCCTTACCGGGAATCGAACCGGTGACCTCTTGGTTCCTGGGTCAATGCTCAACCACTGAGCCACACCTGGCTGGGCAGTTTTTTTTATTTAACATATTTTTTTATTGATTTCAGAGAGGAAGGAAGAGGGAGAGAGAGAAACATCAATGATGAGAGAGAATCATGGATCGGCTGCCTCCTGCAAGCCCCCACTGGGGATCAAGCCCGCAACCCCAGCATGTACCCTTGACCGGAATCGAACCCGGGACCCTTCAGTCCGCAGGCCGCCACTCTATTCGCTGAGCCAAACCAGGGGGGCCAGTGGGCTCAGTTTTTACTGTGGTTTTATAAGAGAGTGAATGGATGCTTAGAAATATTCAGCAACTTGCCTGAGGTTGCCCCATCAGGAAGTCAAGGGGCTAGCACCCACACACCAGAATGCTCACCCTCAAAGTTCATGAGGAACATGGGGCTCAGAGAGGTTATTCAACTTGCCCAAACCTTCACAACTAGTCCTCGAACCCCCAAACCAGGACTTTTCCTTCTCTAAGGTTAGCTCTCTAGAGCGGGCTTCCTGGGAAGTTTTCCTTACGGAAGGGGTGGGTGGTGTGTGTGATGGGCGGGAAGCCCCTGGATAACTTTTGCGGGGTCTCCTGTGTTCTCTCTCTCAGATCCTGTCCCCGCTGGCCCAGGACTTGTTCCACAAAGCCATCATGGAGAGCGGGGTGGCCATCCTCCCCTACCTGAAGGCCCCGGAGGAAAAGCGGAATGAGGATGTAGGTAGATGCGCGCAGCTCTCCGGCTTCCTCTCCTCGGTCAGGTGTCGGCAGACCATGTGCTTGGCCTGACTGACCGTGACCGGAGAATCTGACGCCGACTTGAGGTGAAACGTGTTGCTCCGTGGAAGGCCTGGTTCCGTAGGAAATGGGTCCAGCTGCACAGTGCAATGCTGCTGGTGTGCATGTGTGTGTGTGTGTGCGTGTGTGTGTGTGTGTGTGTGACAGTTCTCACATTGTATGCACCAATCTTTGCTGTGTTATATATCTTAGTCCCCTGTACCTACTCTATTCCACCTAGAGTGCCCTGGTGAGATTCTGATGCTGTTTCCAGCTCAGTAGGAAATAACACTGACTTGTTAATATTGTCTGGCAGGAGATTGGGAGGGGGAGGGGAGGCGTATGTCTCAGATGTTCATCATCTGTCATCTCGTCTTTGCATTCTGCCGGACAGTAAGCACCTGGAGACCGAGGCCCCTGTCTCTTCCATGTCCCAGCATAATGTCTGGTGTATGTTAGGCGACTCTACACGCTTACTCGAGGAATGAGTTCACGAGTGAGCTGATTCATTGACTGAATATTAATGAAACAATGGGCTACGGAGCCATCTCCTGGGTATCATTCGTGTTAGTGGTGCATTTCCTTAAACACCTTATAGAAGGTAACAACATACACCGAGAGCAAAAACAGAGTCATAATATTGCAAAAACACGGTCACTGCAGACGGAAAGTTGAGTTTGGTGGCGTGCTATATCAGGCTGGTGTCGGTGTGTGCGGTGTGGTGTGTATGCATTCATCCACCACACAGATAGTGAGTGCCATTGCTTCCCTGCTCTGTGTTGGGACCTGTGGGTTTATAAGTGGAGAAGGCATAGACTATAATCATTTTTATGATAAGGATTTCAAGCCTGCAACCCATGGGTATGTTTGGAGGTGGTCCTCAAACGCTTATGATATATGTTTGTACATTTTCCCAGGGGGAGGATCTGGGGCTTTCATTGGATTCTCAGAGCATCTGGGATCCCAGAAGACTAAGGGCCACTACTTTCAGGGGGCGCATTCTACACGCGTGGAAAGTTCAGTGATAGGGCAAGAAGGTGTTTAGCAAAGGGCTAGGTAGGTGGGGGCCCTTGGAGTGACAGGAGATCGGAGGAGGAGGGGAATCGTAGGGACTGCCATGTCTGAAAGGACATCTGAGAGAAGGTGGGACTTGGGTCTTAAAGAGTGAGACAGGAAAAAAGGACCCCAGGGCATTCCAGGCTGGGGGTGAGGGTGAGGGTGAGGCTGGAGCAGAGCTGACCAACTGAGACTCCGAGCTGGACACAGGCCTCAACAGACCTTGCAGAGCTGCTCCTCTCCCTTGGGGGGCTCCTGACTCCATGTGGCACCCCAGAGTGGGGCTTCTGGGCTCTGTGGGGCCTAGTGCCAATGGAGCCAACGTCACAGGTCTGTGACATCACAGGTCCCACCATGACCAGGAATCCTGACTCTATTCCATGGCCACAGACTGACAGGTCCTCACTCCCAGCTCCTGCACTTGCTAAAGATGACAAGAAGGGTCAGCCGAGAGCGTCGGGATGACCCGGGGCCAGCCTGCCCTCACTGTGTCCATTCCATGAGAATGGGGAGGGCCAGCAGGCTGAACGTTGTATAGGAAGGACGGGCCTGGGACTGGGCTGAGGACTGTTTCCACGTTTCATTTTCCCAGAGGCTGTCCGTACTGTGCTCTAACCTGGTCCTTCTCTGCCACCAGTTGCAGATGATCGCAAATATCTGCAGCTGCAGAGCGGACAACTCCGAGGCCCTGCTGCGGTGCCTGAGGGCAAAGTCCTCCCAGGAGCTGCTGGGCATTGGCCAGGTGAAGGGCCTGGGGCAGGGCTGCCCTTTGAATGAAATGGTGGACGAACCTGACCGCTCTTATTTATTTTGACATGGGACTTGGAAAGATATGGGGGCTGGGGATTCGTGGTAACGGCTATAAAAACGTGGACTGTAGGTCATTTAAAAAATATATACGTTTATTGATTTCCAAGAGGAAGGGAGAGATAGAAACATCAATGATGAGAGAGGATCATTGGTTGGCTGCCTCCTGCACGCCCTCTAGTGGGGATCAAGTCCCCAACCTGGGCACGTGTCCTGTCTGAGAATCGAACTGTGACCTCCTGGTTCCTAGGTTGACGCTCAACCCCTGAGCCACGCCAGCTGAGCTGCAGGGTTTATTTTTTAAAAGTTGGCTGGACTGTACTCCCAGAGCTTGCATTCAGTAGGGAATTTGCATTTCTAACAAGTTCGCAGGTAACACTGATGCTGCTGGGAGCCAGGCTTTGAGAACCACTGGGCTAGGCTACCGTTTCTCTTACGTGGATGCTATTTTTACCCCTTATCTGCAGATGAGGAAACTAAGGCACAGAGACGCTGACCCCCTTGTCCAGGCAGCCGGATGTATGGGGATGGACCAAGACTGGCTTCCTTTCCCTTTCCTACCACATTTTGCTAGAGTGGGTGGGCTCAGGGTGGGTTGGTTTGGGGCCCGCAGATCTTACCAACAGAGACAGCTTCCGCCCTTTCTCATTTCAGGTCGCCAGGTCTTTCACGCGAATGGTTGATGGTTTTTTCTTTCCTGACGAGCCTCTAGAACTGCTGATCAAAAAAACATTCCGCTCCGTTCCTTCAATCATCGGGGTCAATAACCACGAGTGTGGCTTCCTGCTGCCCATGGTAAGAATCCCGACTCTGCCTCCTGCCGCTCCCTCCACAGAGGGGCCGGGGTTGGCTCCCACAGCCGGTCACTCAGACGGCACACACGTGTGAGGGGTGGAACCCATCCACCGAGCACAGAGCGGCCGTCCTTCTTCTCTCTGAAGGAAGGCAACTGGGGATTGGGGTCAGCGAAGGCAGGCGTCCGCCCTGTTCCTCGTTAGGTTTACGGTGAAAGGAACAACTCTGTGTAAAACACTATAAGAGACAATGGGATCCGTTTGAGCTCTGCTCAAAGCACCACAAATGCTCGTTCCAAAGAAGCATAGTTCCTACTTCTAAGGTGTTGAAATCCATGACACCTTCCTGTCCTGGCATTTGGATGTCCAAGAATGCTCCCTAAGCTGGTGCACCGGTGCAAGCTGCAAAATAGACTCCTTTCATTCATCCCACGAGAATGAACTGAGCACGTACTGTGCGCTCTGAGCTCTGATAAAACCCGAGCAGGCAACAGTGAACGAATCAGATGGATTCAGGTTTCCGCACGCCTCCAGGACCTCCTGGTTCATAGGTCAATGCTCAGCCACTGAGCCACACCAGCCAGGCACCAATTCCCTCTTCTCTGAGGACATCAGTCAAATTGGATTAGGGCCCAGAGAACATCCTCATTTTAACTTCATCACCTCTTTCAAAACCCTATCTTCTCACATAGACACATTATGAGGTCCTGGGGTTAGGGCTTCCACATAGGAATCTGTGGGAGACACACACACAGCCCATAACGTGGCCTTGCCACAGGGCAGCCACCGGGGTCCCACAAGACTACAGGTGTAACGGAATGGCTGTCTTTTATCAAATGAGAGGAGAAACTGTCGCTTAACCGATGCACGGGGAGCTACTTCTACACATGGCCCCCGGGGGCTGGAAGGGTCACGGCTTTTCCCAGCCTCCCCCCTGGAAGGCGGGCGCCTGCACCCCCACAGAGACCAGCTTCCCTTCCGAGGACCTGAGGTGCTCACAGGCGCCCCGCTTCTCTCCGCAGAAGGAGTTTCCTGAGATCCTCAGAGGCTCCAACAAGTCCCTCGCCCTGCAGCTGCTGCACACAATCCTGGTAAGGACGTTCTGGATTCCAAAACCCACCTGGGACCAGGGACCCCTATTGGCTGCATGCCCGCCAGGCTGTGGACTGGGTTCTAGCAATCCTTAGGGCCATTAGTCAACCATTCGCTCATTCCCTCCCTGCACACAGATGCCCCGGGCAGGAGGATGTAGAGGCGGACTCCTTTCCTTCCTCCCTCCCTTTTGTCTGTCCTTAAGCATCTATTCAGTGTGTGCTCTCTGCCATGTTCATTTCACCCACTTATTCGTTGATCAGGTGTTAAGAGCCCACATCCCCCACCTTCCCTAACACTGGGGTGCCATGATGCGCAGGCGTGTCTCTGCGCTTGAGGAAGCTGTGGGCTGTTGGGGTGGACAAACCTGACAGGACACTTCCGTGCGTCGCTGCACCAATCAGGGCAGAGGGATGCCCAGGGTTCCGTGGTGTCCGTGGTGTCCGTTGGGGGGAGCAGTTGGCTCGCTCAGGGGAGGGATTTGGAGTTGGAGTTAGGTTTGTCTGGCGAATGGAGGAGCAGGGCTGAGAGGAGCGGGCGGAACAGAGAGAACCAGGGAGGGGGCAGAGCCCTGTGAAGAAGTCAGCGGAAGGCATATAAGGTTCCATCCCAGGGGCTGGGAACAGAAGAGCGACATGATTCAATGTCCATTGGACAAAGGGTCCGGTGTCTGCAGCGTGGTCCAGGCTGGAGGCAGGGATGCTGCAGGTGCTAAAGCTCAGACAGGACGTTGGATGAGTCTTGGCTGCCTGGTGATGACAGCTGGGACTAAAGTGTGAGCGAGAGCCCAGAGGCAGCGCTGGTACCAGGGGTGGGGCTGGCTTCACGGGCAGGAGATCGGTGTAGTTCAAAGGGCCTTTTGCTGAGAAGGGTCCTACACGTGGTTGGATGTCCTGTTGTCACCATCTTGAAATTCTTGTCATTGTGGAACCATTTTTCACTTGACATTGAGCATTTTCACTTGGCACTGGATCCCGCAAGTGGCGTAGCCAGCTCTGCCCAGGGGTGGCTGTTTCTGAAACATTTCAGAGAGGTGTGTGTACTGTGATTGAGAGCCTGGGATTTAGATGCGAATGGTCTTGTGAAAGAATCCTGGTTCCACCAGTTTGGGGCCAACCACTTTACCTCTCCAAGCCTCAGTCCCCCCATCTGTGAAATGGGACTGATTTTGCTCATTTGTACCACAGGCTCGCTGTGTGGATTCCATGGGGCGGTGCGTGTAGAGCGCTCAGAACATGCCTGCACAGGCGGGTGCTCCACGTGTGGGCTGTTGTCGCTGACCTGGACCTCCTGTGACTGATCTTTTGCAGCACATCCCCAGCCAGCATTTACACTTCGTGGCGGATGAGTATTTCCACGGCGAGCAGTCCATTTTTGAAATACGAAATAATTTCCTGGACTTGCTTGGAGATGTGTTCTTTGTGGTCCCTGGGCTGATCACGGCTCGATGTCACAGAGGTGAGTCCCCGAGCCACCCCCCGGCGGGGCCACAGCACAGCAAGGCCGGTGGCAGCAGGGATCCTGCTGCCTGGGGACCAGCCCCCTGCTCAGCCCTCTGTTTCCTCACTGAGAGGGACCTCTCAGGGGTGTCAGGGGTATAGCCCTGAGGGCCAACTTGTGTAGTTCCCCTGCCTTTCAGAGTTCAGGAATGCTGATCAGTTCTTACTGTTTGTGTTCCTTTCGCTTCTTCAGGGCTGTGGAGAACACTCCCACCTCCCCATAATTTTCCGGGGCCCAACTTCCAGGTTACTTTCTGTTTGGAAGTGTCTTCTCAAATGTCTTAGCATAAGGAGGGCTGGAGCATTCAGAAAGAGAAGATTACTTGTGAGGACACACACCCACTCTTCTCTCCCTCTCCCTTCCTTCTTTCTTCCTTCCTTCCCTCCTTCCCCCCTTCCTCTCTTCCTTCTGTTCTCCTTTCCTTTCCTATAAGAGACTCACTTTAAAACTAAAGATACAAATAGGTTGCAAGTGAAAGGATGGGAAAAGGTATTCTATGCAAGCAGTAACCAAAAGAGAGCGGGCATGGCTATCTTACTGTCAGACAAAAGAGGCTTTAGGATGACATTGGTACAGAGAATTGTTACAGACTAAAAGAGACAGGGAAGCACATCCTAGAAAGATAGAAGAGTGAGTTCATCCAGAAGCTATAACAATTATCAATCCATAGGCATCTTGCCACAGAGCCCCCAAATATATAAAGCAATAGCTGACAGAGTTGAAGGGAGAAATAGTTGTGCATCCATAGTTGGAGACTTCAACCCCACTTTTCATAATAGCTGGAAACGCTCTACAAAACACAGGCAATTTCCCTAGTGATTAGTGATGTTGGTGCTTTAGTGGGAGACTTTGTAAGCATGATCGCCCTTATCCAGTAGAGGAAAACAGAAAGATGATTCAGAGAAAGGAGGAAGTTGGAGCGCAAAGGCCTTTCGTAGAAGAGAGGTGAGGGAATGTGGGGTGCAGGGGGCATCTCGGAAGCAGGAATAGCTTCGTTCTGTTTGTCGTAGGCCATTGAATAGGTCAATGAGAGGAAGTCACGGGGAGGTAGACCTTGGGTCCGTGTGAAGGGCTTTTTGTGAAAACTAGAACCCTTGCCCGGGCAGCCTGCCCTGGACGGGCATCGAGCTCTTTGTCACCAGGGCTGCGAGGGCCTCTAGAGCAGGAACCGCTAGTCTCCAGGAAGGAAGAAGGAAGGTAGCTTGTTCACGTCGCCTCTTGTATGGGGGCTGCCCCCACCCATAGGTTTGGGAATCCGGGAAGAGCGGGTTGGGGATGCAGCGCCAGCCCCGCTCCCCCTGCAGGGGCGCTGCCACGGCCTCTCTCTCCATCGCTGCAGACGCGGGCGCACCTGTGTACTTCTACGAGTTTCAGCACCGGCCTCACTGCTTCAAGGACAGCAAGCCGGCTTTCGTCAAGGCCGACCACACAGATGAAATCCGCTTTGTTTTCGGAGGTGCCTTCCTGAAGGGGGATGTCGTCATGTTCGGTAAGGAACCCGCCTGGTTTGGGGGGCGGGGGGAGGAGCTCTCCTGGTCTTGCAGGAACATGGGGGTGGGGGGGTGAGGTGGGAGAAGACAGGACTCCCCACCACAACACGATGCAAGCGCTGGAGGACTAGTTTTAACTTATTTATTTACTCTCTGGCTTACAAACGTGACCTTCCCCTGGGAACTACCCTTCCCGGGTGCTTTTAGAAACCACGATGATGAGAAAGAGCTGCCACCGCCGGCTGGATGAGTGCTTCTCATTGTACTAAAGCCTAAGGGACGGGCGCTTGGGGGCACTCATGCAGTCTAATTAGAAAAAATCAGAACGGCTTTCTCCATCTCTCTGACTGCTGGTCTCGCCTGCCCTGCCCTTTTCTGAAACCCCCACGGGGCTACCTCCCAGGGCTTTAAAAGGCAAGAACCACCTTTTCCATCATCGCAGCCCAAAGTGGCCTGGATCCCGGTGCTCTCATGTAAATACTTGTGGACTGTAACTGCTGAGGTTCACTCGCGTTTTCCTGAATTTATGACCTGTTTGGTGCCAATCAGATGAGGTTATCAATAGAAAAGGTTACAGGAACTGCTCACGAAACTATCCCTAAAATACTTCGTTTTAGACAGTTGTGCAATGCAGGCTCTGGGCCAGTTCCCGCTGGCTTCCTGGCAATGAGGACAGAGGTGTGCCTATAGAGTGTATGTGTGTGCGGCGGCTTATTCAACCCTTCATTTGTTCATTCTCGTCTTATAACACCGATCATAGCAACCACATCCTAGGTCGCCACGGGGATAAAATGAAGTAATTCTCACAAGCACACTTTTGTTATTACTCAGCAACCATGACAGAGCCTGGACTATTGATGGGTACACAGACTCTCCTAATGGGAAAAAAACAGGATGGTGTATGTGTCAAAGGGTTAAATTCCGAGTTTTCTAAAGAGCTCCCTAAATCAATGAGAACAGAAACTGGGTAACAGGTAGAAACAGACAGTCTGTGGGGAAGGAAATGTGACTAGCTTTTAAACATGAAAACCCACTCAGCCTCACTGACCACAAGGGGACTGAGGACTTGTCTTGACTGAGGAATCATTTTTCATTGGGGAGAACAAGACATTTTCCATCATTATTGGGGCAGGTGTGGGGAAACAGGCAACCTCATGTGTTAACGGAAAAGTCGATGAAAATCTGAAATGCATATGGTCTTTAGCCTGGCAATTCAACTTCTAGGGTTGTGTGTGTGTGTGTGTGTGTGTGCGTGTGCAATTATACTTCCACGTGTGCAAAAATAAACCTGCTCATGAACACATTGGTTTTATTAGCAAAAAGTCCAGAAATAATGTAAAGATACATTAATAGAGTATTGGCTGCAGGAATTATATATTTATATAACTGCATATAAACATACATGTAGGGTGTTCCAAAAATGTATACACATGCTTTGAATGTTTATAGAGGCAGTGTTTATGAAAATACATTTCATTTTCAAAACTGAGCTACCAGCGGTTACAGTGTGTATACATTTTTTTGGGGGGGGACACCCTGTATTTATAGAACAATAAATGATAATAAATGGAAGTCGTATAGGCGACATTGTGGAACTATCTCCTGGATAGAATTTTAGCAAAAGGGGAGATGAAGAATCCATGTCCGTTATGCTACTGCGAGTATAAAAATGTGTCCGCCTAACCCTTGTACGTGCCTCGTCGGCCTTCAGAGGGCGCCCAAGAACCTGGTAGCAGTCGCTGCCTCAGGCCTGTAACAGTGGAGAGAAGAGATGGAGGGAAACTAATTTTTATTAGATACTCTTTCTGCACTTTAGGTTTTGTGCTTTGAACATAATATTTGAGCATTACTCCTTCAAATAAAAAAAATGCAATCCTTAGAGAGAGGAGAGAGCTAGGGTCCCTGTCCCCCAGGCACTGGTAGCCTCAGGGGGGTGGCCAGAAGAGCATTGGTGCCCAGGGAAGATGTGTGTTCAGCCTCCACTACTTGGAGGCCATGCTTTCTCGGGCAAGTCGCAGGTGCCCCGAGCCTCAGTACCTGCAAATGCAAAATGAGTGAAACGGGAGGAGGGATGGGAAAGGCATTCATCACATGCGAGGCACCTCGGCTTCCGGCTCACCGTCCTGGGAGCCGGATTTTGTGATTCTCTCCCTCAGAAGGAGCCACTGAGGAGGAGAAGTTGCTGAGCAGGAAGATGATGAGATACTGGGCCAACTTTGCTCGGACGGGGTAAGTACGCCTCAGGGGCCTCCCCACAGCCAGGCGCTTGAGGATGAAAAGCTCACCCCATCCCCCAACACCCTCCAACCCCCTGTTTCTGCTCTCACTCCCAGGAACCCTAACGGAGCTGGCCTGCCTCGGTGGCCGGCGTACGATCAGAAGGAGCAGTACCTACAGCTGGATTTGAACCTGAGTGTGGGGCAGGGACTGAGAGCACAGAAGGTGGAGTTTTGGATGGAAACCCTCCCTTTGATCATGGCCACTTCTGGGGGGGCCCAACTGGGTCCTCTTTGCTCCTTCATCTTCCTTTCTCTGCTTCTGCCTTTCTTTTCCTCTTTTTCTCACGGAGGGGGTATCTCTGTGTGAATTTGATTTTCCTCCTCCTGCTTCAATGTCTCCCGCTATCCTTGGCTTCTTTCTGTTGTTCAGCTACTTTACAGAATCAGCTGCTTCCGCTGATCCTTAGGGAATTCTTTGCAACATCAAAAAAAGTGCAATTTGCCTTGAAGGCTACCAGATCTCTTCAATACATCTGCAGGGGGGCGGCTTCTTAGTTGGCATAATAATGATCGTGTTATGCATATGAAATAAAAGCAGAATGTAAAATACGTGTGGGGAACAGAATTTAATTCTGGGCTGAAAACTACCCCCTCTCCCCAAAACACACACCCAACACCCAAGAGGAAGTAGACTGTCTATCACAGCGGTTCTCAACCTGTGGGTCGCGACCCCTTTGGGGCTCGAACATCCCTTTCACAGGCGTCGCCTAAGACCATCGGAAAACACATATATAATTACATACTGTTTTTGTGATTAATCACTATGCTTTAATTATGTTCAATTTGTAACAATGAAATTGGGGGTCACCACAACATGAGGAACTGTATGAAAGGGTCGCGGCATTAGGAAGGTTGAGAACCACTGGTCTATCAGAAAAGATGTCTGCTTGTGTTACCTGAAATGTGAGTCTTCCAACCCCCCTCTAGGCATGTTGCAGGCACAGCCAAGCTTGGATGTCCTGACCATCACAGGGTTCTTCTGTGGCTCAGAGAGAGGTGGGGGAGGGAGGCATGCCAGCCAGCCAGCCTCCTTCTCAGCAATGGAAACCAGACACCCGCTAAGGTCAGGAACCCAGAAGTCACACTCCAGGCAGCAAGGTCAGGTCAAGGACACCAAGGGGAAGAGATGTTTCCCTGATGGGGTGGGAGCAAATCGATCATTCAGGAAATCTACACTGGGTGCCTGCTGTGTACCAGCGTATCCCCACTGGGAGACAACAGTGAGCCAAGACAGGCTCTCCTTCAACTGGTGAGCAGACAGACAGGGAGCCAGCATTCACCCAAGTGATTATCTTACTGTGTATGTTTGTTCATGTCACTCTGTGGAAGTAAGGTGTTTTAAGAAAGTTGTAACAAGGAAATCTGCTTTAGATTGAAGTCTTAGGGCGCTGTCTCTGGAAACATTTATCATTTTAAAAAGGAGGTATTGCCGTTAACCAGAAGATGGGCAGGGAGAATTATGCATACCATCATTCAAAGGATGCACTTTTACTTTTTTTTTTTATGAGATGTCACTTAAAATATATCTTTTTATTGATTTCAGAGAGGAAGGGGAGGGAGACAGGGAAACATCAATGATAAGAGAGTCACTCACCGGCTGCCTCCTGCACACCAAACACTGGGGATGGAGCCCACCACCCACGCATGTGCCCCGACCGGAAATGAACCGTGACCTTCCGGTTCAGAGGTCGGCACTCGACCACGGAGGCGCACGGGCGGGGAGACGCCATTTTCTTTCCCTCCGTCAGGAGCCACGCGGAGTAGGTGGGGAGCCCCTGGGAACAGGGGAGTTGGAGAGGCACGTCCGTCCGCGGAGCAGGGGCGCCAGGAAGAGGACCGTGGCCTCAGGCCCGGAGCGGACCGGGAGGCGGGAAGGTAAGGGCACCTGCGTCTCAGCGTGGGGAACGGCCATGAGGAGGCGCCGGTGGAGGCTGGCGGGGCGGGTGCGCGGACAGAGGAGGCTGAGTCAGCGGGGAGTGAGGGGCCGGCGGGGACTCCTCACCTCGCTGCTCCGCTCGCCTTTGTGTCTGCAGCCTTGGGCCCTCGCCGCCTGTGCCTCCCGCAGCGCGTCCCCTCCGCTTTCACTTTTTATACCCACACCATCCCCGTCACACCCTGATCGCAGAGGCCAGGGTCATTCATGTGTCTCCGTGACGGCATCACGATGGCACACGAGGGACGCAGAGTAAGAGGGTCTCTGAGGCGCCAGTCACTTAGGGTTCCTCAGGTGCATCCACTCATCGTCTGAATCGGGTCCCCAGAAAGGTTCTCTTCAGCCCACATCCGGTCAAAGCATGGCTTTGGAACTAGCTCCCAGCTAATTTTAAATCCGGGGACTTTCACATTAAAGGCCGTGTTTCTAGTTTCTCCGGAAGAAGAAAAAAAAAGAGAGAACTAGCCGCAGCCGGGACCGCCACAGCTCACACAGCACCTTTGTGTAAAGGAGAGCAGCCTCTCCTCTCCGCCCTCCGCAGGTGGCTTACAGGCTCGCTGTCCTCAGGGCCCCCAGAGCACAGCCCGCAGGCCTGAGTGGCGATACCCCCACGGCACAGGCACGAGCTCTCAGCTTCCCACGTCCCCACGGCTCCCCTGGGGCCTGTGCCTGTGCCTGGCCTTCTTCACTCACTGATAGTGCCTGGCCTCCGGAGGTATTTAAGTTGGGACCCCTGACCTCTCATCCTATGTAATAAAAGCCTCATGTGCCAAGTGTCCAGTCGTCCATTCAGCCAATCAAAGGGTAATATGCTAATGATATGCTAAGGCCGCTCCGCTGCTCACTATGACATGCGCTACACTAGGGGGCAGAGGGTCGACCAGTCGCTATGACGTGCACTGACCACCAGGGGGCAGATGCTCCAACAGGGCGGTTGGCTTGCTGCTGGGGTCTGGCTGATCGGGACTGAGCGAGTCGGGCCTGACACGCCCTGGAACCCTCCCACGGCCTCACCCTGATCATGCACTTGTGGGGGTTCCTCAGCCTGGCCTGCACCCTCTTGCAGTCTGGGACCCCTTGGGGGATATTGGAAAGCTGGTTTCGGCCCCACCCTGCAGGCCAGGCCAAGGGACCCCCATCAGGGCACAAATTGGGCCTCTAGTTTTACAATAATCTGAAAAGGTGCAGGGATTCCCCCAAAAATTCCTTAGTGAGCCAGGCTGGCGTGGCCCAGTGGTTGAACATTGACTTACAAACCAGGAGGTCACGGTTCTATTCCTGGTCAGGGCACATGCCCAGGTTGTGGGCTCGATCCCCAGTGTGGGGCATGCAGGAGGCAGCCGATCAAGGATTCTCTCATCATTGATGTTACTATCTCTCTCTCCCTTCCTCTCGGAAATCAATAAAAATATATTTACAAGTATATTTTAAAAAGAACTGCTGATTAATGTTGTGTCATATGCATTTTCCAAGTTGCTGAAGGATCTTTAAAAAAACCCAGCCTGCACACCTGTCTGGTGTGACGACATCGAAGCCTCTTTAGCCACAAGCCGGCTCCTGGGCATCTGTGGCATCATTTGATGAACAGCTTTGAGAGTGAGTGCTTTTAGTTAAACTTCTTTCTGGCATCTGGATTTACAGGAGAGGTGCAGGGTCAAAGGCCATGCCCTTTTAAAATTATTCTTATGTCCTACAAATTCACTTCCCAAAAGGGTCGTGTCACTTCATATTCATGGGAAACACATGCATTTCACAGTCACCTCTGCTTTCTCATAATTGAGAAAACAAGATATTTAATTTATTTCTAATTAAACATGTAGGTTTATAGAAAATCCTTTTCTTCCCCTCCCAAACAATCTTGGATCTGAATCACTGAGTAAATCAAACCCAAACAAAACTGCAGAAACAAACCTGATGTTTTTGCCTGTGAATTTCCTAATATCCAGCAGAGGGCAGCATCACAAAAGGGGAAAAAGGGCTTCCCTCCCAGGCTTTTAGGTGGGTGTGATGGGATGGAGCATGTAGAACCTGGAAGGAAAAGAACACAAGTCAAAACAGTTAAATTACCAACTACTACCATTTATCCTTGTCCCTTTCCCCTGTTGCATCTGGAACAGTGGTTCTCAACCTTCTGGCCCTTTAAATACAGTTCTCTGACCTGAAAAGTCTGACTGGAAGCACTCACAGGCAGAGCAGAGGCAGGGCCAGCCGTAGTTTTCTTTCCTGAAGTTCATAAGTCCCCATCAAATCTAAGCGCCGCCTCCTCTCTCCTATGGCGCCCTGTTCCTCCCTCAGAGGCACTTTGGACTCTGGACCTTTCTGCCCAATCCCAAAGCCCAGTTCTCCTCCCCCTCAGCCTCTGGGCCTGGCTGCAGGTCAAGGTTTTTCCCTGGGCAGAGGGGGAGGCGGGCTCACCCATGCACCCGGGGAAGCTGCCCTGCCTGGCGCTGCCCCAGACAACACGTACACAAGACAAACCTCCTTCCCATAGCAAGGTGGACCCATTGGGCACAGCCATGTGTTCTGCTAAAGGTTTGTTTTAAGAGTTCATTTTATTCCCTGGGAAGCAAGGGGATTTGTCACAGTACAAAGCAATTTGTTGGCAAAGAGACTTGTTCTCCATGGACGGGTCAGAGTTCAAGTTGGGCCTTTAAGGTTGGACAGGAGGATAAAGGCCAGCAAGGTGTGGTGGAAATAGCCATGGGGGAGGGGGAGGCGGAGCAGCCTAGTGGGCAGCGTGGCTGCATTTGGCAAGGTGGCTGGAGCGTACCTTGGAGGCCTAGAGGGTAGCTTTTAACCTTGACCTGCAGGAAACAGACTTCTTTCTTTTCGGGGGTTGGAGGGGAGATGATTGATAAAAAGTGAATTCATCTACCCATCTGGCTGTCCATCCATCCATCCATCACTATCTAATCTATCTGGGCCCCTTTATATAATTACACTTGAAGCTCTATATACCTCATGGAATTTCTTGTGTAAGAGCCAATATATTCAATATATGCTTTAGGTAAGGTAAATAGGATCTCTGTGAGTACATACACTATAGTCCTCATCAAAATAATTGCAGTTGACTATTTGCATTCTATTCTATTTCTAATACTTACATAGTCTTTAGTAATATTTCTGTAACAGTCTTGTCTGCATTAGATAGTATGTTCCGAAGGCCTGGAACACATTTTTAAGTTTTTAATGGAATATAATATACATGTAAGAAATGATATAGAGTATAATATGATACATAGGTTAATATGTAAATTAGTGTAACAATATTATATCATGTACTAGAGGCCTGTTGCATGAATTCATGCACCAGTGGGGTCCCCCGGCCCGGCCTGTGGAATCAGGCCGAACGAAACTGGCTCTCCGACATCCCCCAAGGGGTCCTGGATTGCAAGAGGGTACAGGCCAGGTTGAGGGACCCCACCGGTGCACTGGATCCCATCTGGGCTGGGGAGGGAAGTGGGAGGTTGGCCAGCCAGACCACAGGAGGGCTCCAGGGCATGTCTCACTCAGTCCCAATCAGCCAGACCCCAGCAGCAAGCTAACCTACCGGTCAGAGTGTCTGCCCCCTGGTAATCAGTGCACATCATAGCTAGCAGTTGAGCGGCGTTAGCAT